CAACCAACAACCTGAGCATCAAACCACCCACCCAACATCAAACAACAACCCTACCAATGACCCAACCACTTAACCAACCAAATGATCAAGCAACAACCAGAGCAACAGACCACCCACCCAACCACTGATCCACCCACCCACCCATCAACCAACCACCCAACCAATGACCCAACCACCCACCCATCAATCAACCACCGACCCACCCACCCATCAAACAACCACCCAACCAATGACCCAACCACTCAACCAACCAACCAACCAACCAACCACTCCACCCCTGCACCCAAACAACAACCAACCAGCCCTCCAAACACTCGACCATTGACCCAGTTGTTCACCCACCCACTCACCACCCACCCACCGAACCACTCAACCAACCACCCAACAAACTGTCCAACCACCCAACCAGCCAACAGCTTTGGGGTCGGGTTGGGTTGAAAGGGACCTCGAACCCCATCCCTCTCCCCCCCCAGCCGCGGGCAGGGACCCCTCCCACCCTCCCACCTCGTAGGCCGCCTCCCGCATGAACTGCTTGGCCGGCTGCTTCCAGATGGCGGGCACGGTGAGCACCCAGCGGATGGCACCGCGCTCGGGCAGCGCCGGGCACTGCTCCTGCAGCTCCTGCCGGGACAAGGGCCGGTCACCCCCAGCTTGGGGGGGGGCTCATGGGAATCATGGAATGGGTGGGGTTGGGAGGGACCTGGGAGCCCATCGATCCTGCCATGGGCAGGGACACCTCCCACTAGACCAGGCTGCTCCAGCCTGGCCTTGGACACTCCCAGGGATCCAGGGGCAGCCACAGCTTCTCTGGGCAACCTGGGACAGGGACTCCCCACCCTCCCAGCCAGCAATTCCTGCCCAATATCCCATCTAGCCCTGCCCTCTGGCACTGGGAAGCCATTCCCTGTGTCTGTCCCTCCATGCCTTGTCCCCAGTCCCTCTCCAGCTCTCCTGGAGCCCCTTCAGGCCCTGCCAGGGGCTCTCAGCTCTCCCTGGAGCCTTCTCTTCTCCAGGGGAACCCCCCCAGCTCTCCCAGCCTGGCTCCAGAGCAGAGGGGCTCCAGAATCCCGGGAAGGTTTGGGTTGGAAAGGACCTTAAATCCCACCCATTGCCAACCCCTGCCCTGGGCAGGGACACCTCCCACTCTCCCAGGTTGCCCCCAGCCTGGCCCAGTGCCCACCTGCACCGCGTGCTGCTTGAAGAAGCGCAGGGCGTGGGCGAACACCTCCAGCGCCGGCATCTTCTTCCCATTGACGGCCTCCAGTTCGGTTTTCATGGTCAGATCCTGCCGGGAAGAGCACAGGGATCACACGAGGTGCTGGGAGGTGGCCAAGTGCATCAGCAGACCTCGGGAAGGTGCCCATCCCCTGTGCCAGCCGGAGCGGCCGGAGCACCTTCGTGCAGCCACATCCCCCTTCCCCAGGGCAGCCGGGCTGGTGGAGCCAGCCCTGAAATGGGCTGAAAGGGGGATTTTACCAACATTACAACCCTCGGCCCGGCCGGGGGGACCCCGAGGGGCGTGGGATGGGAGCGGGGACTCACGCTGGTGCTGTGGATCTTCATCTTGAACTTCTCGAAGTAGAGCCACTCGCGGGCCTCCTCGGGGTCCAGGTCGTGGTAGGTGTCGCGGGCGGTGTAGCCGAAGCTGTGGAACGTGCCCTCCGGGGTCAGCAGCAGGCTGGTGGGGGTCTTCTGGTTGGCCACCCCCGGGTCCCCCCCTTCCCATTTCCTGCAGAGAGGAGCCGGAGCGGATGAACCTCCGGGTCAGGGAGGTCCTGGCAGGTTTAATTTGTTTATACGGGCGCCACCTCGAGCACCTCAGAGGGACAGGGAAGGGAGGGAAGGGGTGGATATTGCTCCCTCCTCCTGCTCCCTGGGAGGAATTTCGTAGAATTGCACACTGGATTGGGTTGGGAGGGACCTTAAAGCCCACCCAGTGCCACACCCTGCCATGGGCAGGGACACCTCCCACTATCCCAGGCTTCTCCCAGCCCCATCCTTGGACACTCCAAGGGATGGGGCAGCCACAGCTTCTCTGGGAAATTCATTCCAGGGTCTCCCCACCCTCACAGGGAAGAACTTCCTCCCAATATCCCACCCATCCTTTTTCCAGTGGGAAGCCCTTCCCCCTTGTCCAGTCCCTCCATCCCTTGTCCCCAGTCCCTCTCCAGCTCTCCTGGAGCCCCTTTAGGCCCTGTAAGGGGCTTTCAGGCCTCTCTGGAGAATCCTCTTCTCCAGGCTGGACATTCCCAGCTCTCCCAGCCTGGCTCCACAGCAGAGAGGCTCCAGCCCTGGGAGCATCCTCATTCCACAGCAGCCTCTCCCTGTTGCTGCCAGGCAGCGTCGTCGACCTCCGATGGATTTCCCACCCCAGCAATCCAACTACCACCCACTTTTGGGGCAAAAGGAGCCCTTTCTCAGCCCCGGGAGCAGCGCAGGGGCTCTGGCAGCCCCTCACCTCATCATGTGGATGGCCTCGGGGTCGCTGGTGAAGCTGAAGGCGTAGCCGCTGGACGTGGTGCCGAAGTCGATGGCCACGACCACGGCGAAGGAAGGACCCTGCTGGGAACGGGTCTCGCTCCTCTGCGGGGCAGGGACGGCGTCAGGGCCGGGCTGCAGCACCCTCCTGGGGCTGCCCGCTCCCGGGAAAGGGGGGAAAACCCCGGGAAGGGGCTCATTTTTCCGGGATGGAGCCCGCAGGTGCTGAGATGGCTGCGCGGTTCCGTGGTTCCCTGGTTTCCTCAACACCCGGGAATCCCCCCTCCCACACAGCTCCACATCACTGGGAAAAGGGTCTCCTGGGATCCACAGCGTGGCTGGGGTGGTTCCAAGGGGACACAGGGATTTGGGCAGCCCCTGAGAGGGATGGGTTCCCACAGCCCAGGGGACCTGCCTCCCCGGTTTTATCGTGGTGCTGAGCCATCCTCATCCGATCCCTGAAATCTGAGCTGAGGTTACCCAAAACCTTCCCTGCTCCCCATCTCACTCCAAGGGACCAGGTGTCCCCAAGGGTCACCCCAACCAAAACCTTCCCTGTGCCCCATCTCACTCCAAGGGACCCTGTCCCAGCTGTCCCCAAGGGTCACCCCACCCAAAACCTTCCCT